GAATATCTGCTCTTTGAGATGGTCTGTTCTGTTCATTTTTTCCAAGACATCAGGTTTGGAGGTCACTGAGATGTACGGATTAATCAATCCCTTGCATCATGTTTGAGCTTGAAGCAGTTGAATCGTCCCCCACAGCACTGTTATAAAACCTTATAATGGCTTTGGGATCGCAGCTCTGTGCTGGGCTGTGCCACTGAACCGTGTTGGTGTTTGATGCTCTGGGTGGATTTTATTTTTTAAGCGAGCACTGGGAAGCAGTGGAGTTGAGCAGAGCAGCCTTAGTGGTGTGGTTGTATCAGGTGTGCCTGATTTTGTGATGACAGGTGGCCTTTTAGTGGAGTTCAGGCTCTGAGCCCTCAAAGCAGTAATGGGACGAGTTGTGTGTGATAGCAAGGCTGATCCAGAAAGGTTTGATGAAGCTGTCCCAGAAGAGTTGCCGGTCCTTAGCAGCCTGGCTGGTGTGTGATGTACATTCCTGAGACGTTCCTTCCTCTGTGTTTGATGAAGTGGATGCTGTTACATAAGGGCATTAAGGCATTGGATCGTGGCTTCAGAGCACAGTGCAGGCAGTTGGAAGGCAGGAAGGTGACGAGTTGGAATCATAGTGTGGGCCCAAATTCTTCAGGGTGGGAATGCGGGGAACACAGCGCCCAGGGGGGAGATGGGCAGCCTGGGGAGGTGGGGGGGAAGGTCAGCCGCAAGGAGAGAGTCTGCCCCCATTGGAAAAAAGGGCCTGTTGAATGCCTTGGGTGAGATGTTGGAGAACAGGAAGTCAGTGAGGTGAAAATGTGCCACCTGGGTACCGTTTGAGCCCCCCAACCCCACAAGTGCTGAGCAAAGCTCTCCACGCCCCCTGGTGCTCTTTGCAGTTCCCCAGTCAGCTCCCGTTGCCTCTCGGCGTTGCCTCAACTCTCCTTGTGCAAAGTCGGTGCCCCCGATGGAGATGTTCAGCCTGGAGGAGCTGGAGGAGCGGCAGCTCTTGGCTGCCTGCAGCCACCCCAGCATCCCCAGAGATGGGCACGGGGACCTGGGGGGGCTTTGGTGCTGCATGAACGACTGCAGGCAGAGGTGTAGCAAAGGGAACGCAGAACATTTAATAGTGCAATGTACAAAACAGTGCATAAATGACAATATTCCCAACCATTTCCCACCCCTAACAACAGGGGCCCCTAACAGCCCCCCCCTGCTCCCTCCCACCAATATTTTCTTCCCCCTCCAAAAAACTTCCCAGCCTCCCTAAAATCCCACGCCAGCAATTCCTTCCTCCCAATTCCAGCAATTTTGGAGTACAATATTATCAGAGTTCAATTTCTGACCCAGAATTGCCACCCCACAAAATTCCTTCCCCCTCTGCTGGCAGGCGAGATCCGTGCCCGGTAGCTACCCTTCCCTCCTCCTTGGCATGACTGCAAGTGCTTTGGCTTCCTCCAGAGAGATGCTTTGCTCTGACTGGCAGCCTCAGGCTCCTTCTGGGCTGTCGACCAGGCAGTTGCATCAGTGCTGGAGGAAGCAGCACACCTAGTAGCTACCCTTTCCTCCTCCCAGGCACGGATGCTAAGATTCTGGCCTGCTCCAGACTGGGTGGGCATCTGTGCTTTGCCCTGGCGGTGCATTCTTTTCCTTGGTTTGTTGGTGTTGCTGCTGCTGCTGGCAGGGTTGTTGCTGGTTTGCACTGTGCCCAGAAAGCGTCCCGAGTCCTCGTGCTGGCCGCCGTGCTGACAGCGGCAGCTTGGCCTAGCGCCGGCGTTTGTGGCGTGGCGCACGGTGGCAGCGTGGCAGCTTCCTGTCTGTGGCTGGGATGCTGCCAGCGTGCTGCCTGTGCGCGGTGCTCTGGCCTCTGGTGGTGGAGCAGGCGGGCGTTGGGCTGGTGGGCGGCGCGGTGCTGTCCCCGTGGTGCTGGTCTGCCAGCCGGCAGGAGATGCATCCGGCTGGCAGTGCGAGGTGCCTGAGCAGCACGTGGGGCTGTTTGTGCGGCGCCTCTTCCACGAGCCGCCCAGTGCGCAGCAGAGGAGGCACGGGGCGCTTGGCTGGCTCGGTGCTGTCCCCGTGGTGCTGGTCTGCCAGCCGGCAGGAGATGCAGCCGGGTGGCAGTGCCAGTCGGGGGAGAACCACCCGGGGCTGCCTCTGCTGCACCTCTGCCATCGGGTGTGCAGTGCTGGGCGATGGAGGTGTGGGGGAAGGCAGTGGGCTGGGCAGTGCCAGGCGGGTGAGAATCACCCGGGGCTGCCTTCGCAGCACCTCTTCCATCAGGTGTGCATGGTTTGGCGATGGCGGTGTGGGAGCAGCCAGGGCGCTTGGCACGGGCAGCTGAGGGGATGCTGCCTGGTGCCCAAGTGAGTTGTTGAGGAGCCCAGGTTCAGCATCTGTGTCGCTGCTGAGCTCCCGGCTGGCCCTGGGGGAGTGAGGCAGCTCTGTGATGGAAGAGGAGTTGAGGCTGCTGGAGGCACGTGCGCTCGGTGGTTCTGTGGCAGTGGTGCGCTGCGTCAGCTCTTCCCTTTTGCAGCTGTCCAGAGCACTCACAGCTTCTGGAATAGCAGAACATCCCCCGGAACGATGATGGCAGCCTTCCCACCCCCGCTTGGTGCAGACACCCACCGGTCATCTGTGCAGACCACAAACTCACCTTCAATCCAGGTGAGCAAACGGTCGATTTCCACATGGCCGGCAAGACTGTTGGTGCTGGGTCTGTCTTCTGGGCAATGGAAGAAATGCCCAGTGGGGCAATGCCAGCTTTCCCCCAGCCACTCAGAGCAGACAGCCCCCAGCAGCTGTGCTGCTCCCAAACTCACCGCTGTTGATCCACGTGAGCAGATCGTCCATGTCTGCGGTGTCGTGCAGGATGCCTGGGTTGGCTGTCACTTCTGAAGAAGCAAGAAAATCCCCCGTGGGGCACTGCCAGCTTTCCCGCGCCCACTGGGTGCGAGCACCCCCCCGCCAGCTCTGCTGCCCCCAGACTCACCCTGGTTGATCCACGTCAGGAGCTCAGCGATGTCCTCGGCGATTTCCTCCGGGGTGTCTGCGCTCGTTGTGGCTGCTGGCAAAGCAAGAGCATCCCCAGTGGGGCGGTGCCAGCTTTCCCACAGCCCCGTGGAGTAGACAGCCTGCCGCCTGCCCTGCAGCCCCTGAACTCACGGCCTGATTGCAGCGAGGCAGTGCTGCAGGTGAGCGGAGCCGTGGCTGGGTGGGGGCACACGTCAGTGGGCGCTGGGTGCCCCTGTTCCTCCGAGAGCAGCACGGCATCTTGGAAGGTCTCCATCGGTGGCTCCCAGGTGGTGGGCAGGGTGCAGGGCCCGGGGAGCACCTGCTCCTGCAGGGAGGGTACCTGCAAAAGAGCTGGGGAGGGGCCGGGGCGCCCGGGGGCCTGTGGCAGGTAGGTGCCTGTGGGCTGCGGGGGCTCCGCGTGGAGGGGCACGGCCCCAGGCCACAGCCCCATCGGCCGCTGGGGTGGCAGCGTCCCTGCAGGCAGGGGACGTCCTGAGCAGGGAGCAGGGGCGGGGGGGGGAGCCGTAGCTGGGTGCAGCCCCCCAGGTAGGAGCAGCAGCACCGGTAAGTGCAGCCCTGCAGTTGAGGTCAGGCCCACAGGTGGCAGCTGAGCCAGGACTGGGGTCGGCCCCCCGGGTGGGAGCTGCGCTGCCTGTCCCCAGGCACCTGGTAGCCCGGGCCAGACAGAGGGCTGAGGTGCCAGGTGGGTGGCAGTGGGGACAGGGAAGGGTTGGGGGGGTACCGGCATCGGTCCGCGGACGGTGGGCTGCATCCAGGCGGGGTCCGGTGGCGGCACAGTCGCGTCAAAGAAAGTGGCGTCGGGTGTCAGAGGCACCGTCAGCGCTCGAGGGAATCTCTCTGTGGGGAAATGCCAGACGGGGCGCTGGGCTGAGAGCCGGGGCATTGGGATGGGATCTGGGTCACAGGAGTGGGATCTGGGGTGCTGGGGTGCGATCTGGGTCACAGGGGTGTTTTCTGCGGCTCTGGGCTGAGATGTGGGGTCCCAGGGGTGAGATGTGGGGCGCTGGGGTCAGCTGGAGCGTCAGAGCAGGGGGAGCTGCTGCCTTACCTGCCATGACAGCTGGAGAGTGGCAGTTGGGGGAGCCCCTCCCCCCACGGGGGCTCTGTGACCGTTGGGCTCAGCCCCTTTCCCCCCGGCTTGCCGTGCTTTGCCTTTTCGTACCCAGACATCCTTCCCATCCCCATCGTTTCCCATCCCCAGGATCAGTGACTGTATGGATGGGCTTTTTGCAGCCCAGTGCCCTTCCTTCCCAAGGGTCTGCCCGTCCCAGTGAATAAGATGAGAGAGCCCCAAGGTCCTTGGTTTATTAAGGGCCTTTTTCTCCATCTCTCGGTTGTTTGTTCTTCTTTTCTTTCTGTTGGTCTGACATACTTGTCCCATCAGGTAATTCAGCAGGGAGTTGTGCGTTCTTGCGAAGCTGTGGCAGGTGGGTGCGTGCACTTCACTGCTGGTATGACAAAGCTGAAGATGCCGGAGCTGTGGGAGAGCTCTGGGAGTTGGATGGAGAGTTCTTGACCAAGGAAGAGCCCTTTGGTCCCAGCCCCCTGGGGAGAGGGTGGGATTGCTGAAGGGAGAGAGAGGTCTTTGAGTGATGTGAGGGGTCTGGGAAGGGAGCTGACAGGTTTTGGGTTCCTTTGCTGTGCTCTGCACAGGCTTTGACAGTGCTGGGGTTCGATTTTGAGTCACTCTGAAGAGCAAATGAGACAAAGGGTGTTTTGTGCAGCCTGGAACCCCTACAGAAGTAGGGGCTGCTGCCCAGGGTAGGTGCCCTGTCTCCACAATTGCTGACCACACTCTTCCCTTCTCCACAGTGACCACGGCCATCCCCTGAAGCTCCAGTCATGAAGACCCTGTACGTCATGTCTGATGGCCATCTGTCTGCGCTGCCCGTGGCTGTGATGGGTGCAGCTACCTCATGTCCCTTCAAACTGCCAGGCATCCAAGCTTCTCCTCCACCAGCTCTCCACTGACTGCAACGCCTTTGCCACCACAATGCATGGTGCTGGGGCAGGCCCAGACTCCCACCCTGACAGCAGGCCCGTTTCCAAAAACTCTGCTCACTTCCTCATCCTGCTGGCTCGTGAGAAGATCCTGTTGTCAGCTCTGCCAACCAGCACAGCAGAGGTGGGATTGTTGCGGGCAGTTGGAAGAGAGCAGGGGAATAACCGTTTCCCGCTTTGGCTGTTATTTGTTGAGAAATGCTGTCTGGTGAGTGTTGAGTCAGGGCCTGAAGCACTGATGGAGCATCTGGGGAAAGGACCCAGTCAGCCCTGGGAGCCCAGGTGAGGGCAGTTCAGTTGTATGATGGAATGAGTGGAGCCTGGCTGCCCCTCTCTTAGACCTCACTGAAGGGCTGACCCTGCACTGGGCCAGGATCTCTGGTTGGAGATCCCTCCCTTGTGGAGTTTTCCCTGTGAGCCTGGATCTTCAGGGACAGGTGAGCACTTTTCCTTTTTCTTTGTAACACCATCTGTTGTGCCAGTCCCTTTGTGGTTACACCTCCTTCCACTGCACCGATCATTCTGATTGTTACAGACGTCCTCTGCCCCTTCCCACCTGTAAAGCAAACAAGGCGATGACAGAGCCTTGATTTGAGATAGAGGAGCTATAGAACAGGATATCAAAGAAAGAGGAATCGACTCATCCCTCCCAGCTACAATTTGGCAGAAAGTGGTGAGCTGAGGAATGCAGCCTTCTGCGTTTGAACTGCGGTGTGCTGAAAGGTGAGAGGGGGCTGAGGGGTGGGGGGGGAGAGCTGTGCAGACTGACTGTGTGTGTGCTGCTGGGAGCACTGCTGAGATGGAGAGAGAGGAAGGCTCCCCCGCTCGAGGTACTCGTGTGCTCACGCAGTGGTTCAGGCTGTGACCTGGCAATTCCACTGCACCACCCGTCCTGCACTGTCCATGTGCCACCTGCAGGTGTTGCCCAGCTTTTGGGGGACTTGCTGTGACCTCCCTGTCTCAGCACTGCCTTGTGCTCTGGACTTCACAGCACCTTGATGGTGAGTAGTGGTCCTGTGGAGATGCTGAGCAACGATTGTGAGCTGCGCCCTTTTCCTGGACCGGTATCCCAAGCCCTTCTCAGCCCAGGGCCTGTCTCTCTTTCCCTGGGGTTCTGTGGATAAGTCAGCAAGACGGGACTTTGCCAGCCACCTGGTTTCAGCTTCACCACCCCAATGACAGCAGGGCAGTCCTGCAGCTCATGGCAGCCCTACGGCTCTGCTCCTTTGCCAGGCTGGAGAGCTGAATCAGCTCCGATTCTGCAGATCCTTCCCTGAGTCCTGCTGCTAAGCACCGATACTTGTGCATCCTCTGGGCCACATCAGGACTGGAAAGAGGAGTAGATATCAGGCGGAAGGATCTGGCCTCCTGTGTTGCCGAACAGGGTCGGCAGGGGCCCCTCGGCCCCTGCGAAACCATGACAACAAATGGCCTGAAGATAAGGGAGAAGAACAAGATAGACCAAATAAGGAGGAAACAGGACATTCCACATGTCCATTGGCCAGGAGACGACCCTGAGGCATTCCACCTCTCTGGTAGTTGCTAGTAGTAACCAGATAAGGAAGTAGTACGTGGAGTCAGAGGGGCGTAGACGAAGTTGTACAAGGCTATATAAGTTCTTGTCGTGATCAAATAAACGCCATTTTACCACCCACCACATTGGTGTGCACCGAGGTAAATGGACAGACCGATGAGTCCCTAACGATTGCGAACACCTGTATGAGGTCTTTCGCAGGCGAAAGGCTTCATCTGGTGACCCCGACGTGATCGTTAGGGAATAGTGGTCGGCCACAGGCGGCGTGGCGTTCCTGCTCTCTTCCGTCTCCCTTGGGGAAGGAGACGATGACCCTAGTAGAGGGGGCTGCGGCTTAGGAGAGTGGAAGCTGGGTAGCGTCGGGAGGGGGCTCTGCGCGCGAGTCCGTTTAACCTGCCGAGGACCCAGGAGACCATCGCAGGAGGATCCCGGTGGTCTCGAGATCCGCGGGAGAGTGCCCGGTGGAGTGACTATGGAGGCCGTCATAAAGGTGATTTCGTCCGCGTGTAAGACCTATTGCGGGAAAACTTCTCCTTCTAAGAAGGAGGTGGCTACCGTTCTTTCTTTTCTTGAAAAGGAGGGACGTCTTTCTTCTCCTTATGAGATTTATGACTCCGGTAAAGGGGACTCTTTGACATTAATGCTCTCTGAGAGAGCTGTGTCGCCCCGAGGGGCGTCGGTGCTTAAATTTTGGGGTCCGATTCGGGGGGCTTTGAAGGCAGTGAGGGAAGAAAAGACTGCCAAAAACCTTGCCAGAGATCTGTTGGGTTTTGATCCGGGCGGGGGGGGGGTCACCACGGCCGGGAGACTCTAACCCCTTCAAGGATCTGCCCCAAGACAAGATGGCACGGGAGGCACCGACCATGCCAGAAACATCAACGTCGGAAAAGAAGGAGGAAGAGTCGCCATCATCGCCGACGGTTCCGCCCCCGTATCCTCTCCAGTACCCCTCTTTGCATGGCTTTCGTCAGGGGGAGGATCCCACGCGGGTAGGGGTAGGGGCAGGGGCCGAGGGATTGATGGTTGCGACTCCGCCTTCAGGGGCTGAGCGATTGATGGTTGCGGCTCTGCCTCCGCCACCCTTGAAGGGAGGGTGCCTTAGGCCCAGGGCCCCTCCCCCGGAACACCAAATGGGCCAGACAATGCGGCTCTGCCTACCCAAGGTCGGGGTCCCGTACCTCAGTGAGCCCTTCGCCCACAGTGGCATTAACCATGGGAGAGCACCCCTTGGGCAGGATCATGCTTACTTGTGCGGGGAGCGTACTTTCTTGCAGGTCCCCTGAGGAAGAGAACACCGTAAATATGCCCTCAGCTATAGCGACTAACATCTCGTCCGCACCTTCGGCATCCCACTTCACCCCCCCCTCGACTTCAGCTTCGCATAAATAAGTAGAAGAAGGCATTCAACTGTCTGCGCTTTTGTCTTGCAAAACGGCTAAAGTGCAGGAATGCAAGGTCGTTGAAACCCCTCCACTGTATCCACAACAACCGCTGTATCCTTCTCATTGTAATCTAATACCACCTGCGGGGGCAGGGGGAGAAGTGAGCTGGGATGGGACACTTACTGTCTCCTCTCAGGAGGTGGAATGCAGTAACACTCAGGGGGGTGGGAACTACGGTCAAGGCTCGGGTATGGATTGGTCAAAAGTTAAGGAGGCGGTAGAAGAAAAAACAGCAGAGAAACAGGGAATTGAAATCACTCCTCGCTTTAAATGCATTAGAAGTCCTGACAGCATCAGGCCTTCTCTTTCAGCATGTAACAAATTTGATGTGCGTGGTGCTTAAGCCAGTGTAGTATGCACTGTGGGCATCAGAATGGGTTCCCTTCAGGGACAGGTGGCCAGGTTGAGGCCTGGAGAACAAGCAATTCCGTATGGTTGGTTTGTGAGAGCAATGCTCTCAAGGCTTGAGACATCTGCCTTGACATTGAACAAATGTTTGTTATTTTTGAGGTACATTCCAACAGGTACCTGAGACAATGTAGGTATATATTGGGCATAGATAGTGCCACTAGAGCTATCAGCAATCACTCTAATCTCTAATCTCTCTGTCTATAACTTTACTAGTATTGTAGGAAGTGGCTTTAATTGTTAAGTGTCGGCAACATCACATCAGTTTTTGCAGGATAATTACGTGGTGATTAAAGACCTATCACCTGCTCCAAGTGGGATGAATCTCGCTTTGGCTTACCAAGGAAGGAACTTGGTAAGGAAGCTTTTGCAACATGATGACCTGCACCAATTGTTGAAACGCGTCAGAGACAACGGACAGAAAACCTTGATCATCGTTCACCACGACACAGAAGAGATACATCGTGTCCTAGAGAGAGGAAAGAAGGACGGAGAACACCACTGGTGGGAAGTGCTTTTTGGGTGGTCCCCCACAGCGACAGGAATATTTAACTCTGTACTGCATCCGGTTGTAGTTGTGTTAGGTTTAACATTATTATGCTTAGTACTGATAGTTATAATATATATTAAGGTGTGGCGCTTGCTGAGGCAAGTGTCCCGACTCGATTCAGCATTATCTAAGGATACACTACATCGCCTCTTGTAAGACTCATCTTAAGGCTAGTAGGCTGCTAGGCTGTAAGGATAGAACTATCAGGCGCTTCGCAATATAACAGAGCAAAGTTTCACTGAGCATGGGAGAGATTTTGTGGCAGGCGAAGAAGGCGAGGATTCGGGATGTGACGGGATAGGACCTCCCCCTGCTCAGTGGTGTAAAGCCTGCGTCTAATTTGTGTACCTTGCTTCATCGACTGTCTGCAATAACGTTTGCGCAATCAACGCTTGGAATACTATAGGCTTCTCGAAAGATTGTAACTGGATTCGCGTACGCGCTGTAACGGATGTTTAACTATGTTCAACTCTATTCTGTACTCAGTTATAGTTGTATTAGGTCTAACATTAATATGCTTTATGCTTATAGTCATATTATATTAGGTATGTAGATATATAGGTATATTACAATGATAAGTATAATGAATGAGCATCGTCTAAGAATGCAGTATATAGCTTTATGTAGAACTCACGCTTAAGACATTAGGATTTTTATATTAATAGGTCATAGGGTTATTAGAGTAGAATTATTTGGCGCATTACAATGTAACGGGGCAAGGCTTAACTGAGAGGACAATGGCATGTATAGGCGCAATGCGGGGATTTCGGGTTGTACGCGGTTAGGGTCCTCTCAGAATGTAGTAGTTACGCTTATGCATAGGGAGGGGGAAATGTTGCCGAACAGGGTCGGCAGGGGCCCCTCGGCCCCTGCGAAACCATGACAACAAATGGCCTGAAGATAAGGGAGAAGAACAAGATAGACCAAATAAGGAGGAAACAGGACATTCCACATGTCCATTGGCCAGGAGACGACCCTGAGGCATTCCACCTCTCTGGTAGTTGCTAGTAGTAACCAGATAAGGAAGTAGTACGTGGAGTCAGAGGGGCGTAGACGAAGTTGTACAAGGCTATATAAGTTCTTGTCGTGATCAAATAAACGCCATTTTACCACCCACCACATTGGTGTGCACCGAGGTAAATGGACAGACCGATGAGTCCCTAACGATTGCGAACACCTGTATGAGGTCTTTCGCAGGCGAAAGGCTTCACTCCTGCTGGGTGATAGCCACCTGCATGGCCTGTTCCTGCTTTCTCTTTTCCCCAGGTGACATTGTGCTTCCCAAGGAGTGCGTGGACCTTTCTGATGGGAGTGAGCAGCAAGGAACCGACTGAATCACAGAATCATGGAATCACAAGGTTGGAAATGACCTGTAAGAGTCTCAGCTATAGAGGTCTTATAAGGGTCTCAGCTTCCTTCCTGCCCTGTGCTTGACTGAGGGACCCTGCAACCAGCTCACGAGGTGGCCATGGGCCCAGCTCTGCCAGCTTTCACTGCAAAAGGGAGCAGTTCAGGGATAGACACAGCCTGGGTGGGTCTGAGCTTGACTCTAGCATCTGAGGGAGCTGTGGACATCAGCTGTGGACACGACTCATCGAGGTGTGGGTCAGCTGTGGATGCTCAGTGTTCTTAAGCAGCCCAGCTGTATCTCCAAGGCTTGTAGTCACAATTTCTCTGCGAGGCTGAGATACCCTGAGGATCATGGCGTCTCTCATTTTGCTCTCCTGCCCTTGCTCACAGTCTCTGAGGAACGACTTGAGCCCTGTGACCACGTCCTTGCTCGTGTGCTGGAGTCACTTTTGTGCATTTTGGTGTCAGAGCTCTTGGGGCAAAACGTGCCTGGACACTGCCACACGTGTAATGCCTTTCTGCGGTGCACACTGGAGGATGTTTTGGATGCTGCTCTCCAGCACCCCTTTCGGAGCAGCCAGTGTGCTTCCCATGGATGCTTGCTGCTGCCCTGAGCCCTTTATAACCTCAGTAGCCCCTGCTATAAGGCAGCATACTTGAGAACTAAAATGGCATGGTTTGTAGGAGGGAGCAGGGGCTTTGTGGCAGGGAGCTGCAGGACATCCTGGGCACAGCATGGCCAGGTGGGAACATCCACTGTGTGTCTGCATTGGCTCTACAAAATTGCCCAGGGGCGCAGCATCTCTAGCAAGAAAACCTCTGCAGCTCATTCTGTTCTCTTATCTCCCTTATCTCCCTTAATGGAGATAATGGAGAGAGGTGGCTTTGGTGGGGCTGCCTGATTTTTCAGGTGCTCCAGAGGGTTGCTGAAGTTGATCAGGAAATGCAGCATCTCTCCCTTATAAGTGTTTTGGGCTGAGGCACTGGGGTGAGTGGAATGGCATAGCTGGGTGTGGGAGTGATGGCTTTGGGTTGGGCCAATTCTTGGTATCCCCTGGGTGAGCCAGTGCCCTTGCCCCTGCCTTCAGTTTCACGGACCAAGGGGGAAACAGCCTGCAGGCCCAAGGCTGCCTCGTCCTGTTCCACTTGGCTGGGGGTGGTGTGGGGCTGTGTGTCAGTGGGCTGAAGCCGGCCCCAGGGGGCACCCAGCAGGCTTTGACAGCAGCAGAGGTGGCTGGCTGCGGGCTCTCTCTGCTCCACGCTTTGGTTCACAGGTCTTGGGCTGCTCCCAGTCGTCCTCCACGTCCTCGGGTTGTGGTTCCAGGAAATCCTTCAAGTTGGAGAAGTATCCCCCAAAGGGGTGGCAGCTGATGTGTTTCAGCAGCTGATTGCAGTATGCGTGAAAGAAGCCGGTGAAGACAGCGGGTGCAGGGCCCCCATCCTCAGCTCTTGGGTAAGGCTGTCTGTCCTGCCAGGGGAGCACTGCGATGGGTCCTGCCTCACTCCAGCCTCCCCTGGATGCATCCTTCAATCCTTGTGTCTCCAGGCTCCTCTGCTCCTTGAAGTGGGGGTTGGCTGCCAGCCGGCTGGGCTCTGGGTTGGGGCGAGTTCTGCTCGCCGCCCCATTGCCCTCCAGGCAGTGGTGTTAGTGGCAGTGGCAGGACTCTGCCTCACTCACCTGGGCCAGCAGCTTCTTCTTGGCCAGCAGAGACGTGATGGGATGGTTGCCTTTGGAGTGAAAGCTGGGAAAGAGGCACTTGCAGGCTTCATTGTGGGCGCAGCGAGTGCCGGGACACCCCCCAGAGGGTGAGAATGTGCCGGGGCCGTGGGGCTGGCACATTGCTCCACTGGCCAGCCTTGCTTGTGGGCCTCTGTTGGGTCTTCCTGGGTGGGGAATGCAGCCATCAGGAGGTACCCGGAGGGGCAAATCTGCTCAATGCGTCTTTAAGATGGGGAAGAAGAGTATACGTATCTGAGAATGCCTCACTGGTGTAAAAATGTCAGCACTGATGGATAGCTGTGATGGAAACTTGTGTGAGAGCAATAATTCAGTAATAAAATAGGTCAGATCCTTACGCTGAAGTTGGGTACCTTACAAGAACCATTTTGTGATTCGGTGTTTGGCAGTTTGCTCTGCATGATGTGGATGGTGGAGCTGTGATGATGTAATCCATTTCCAGTTGTGAACAGGATTGCTCTAAGAGCTGCTGCAGTGAGATGCGTGTGGGCTGACTGTAAGCTGAAGCGTGATTGCCTCTGAATATCCATGTGTGTGGGGGGATTTTGTTTTTAGTTCTGCGATTTCATCCTTGTCCTACAGCAGCTCTGAAGAGGCCCTTGTTTTCCCAAACCCTGCTTTGCTGCTAATGGAGGCTGATGGCAAGTGCTGTGCTTTGGGCCCTTTGCTTTTAGTTTCTGTGGCCTGTGTACCCTGGAGGGTGCTTTCTTTCACATTTTTTTTGTTTGCTAGCCACCTTTTTGGTAGATAACATTTATTAGGGATGTTCTTGCTCTCCTGTGGTGGGTATGTGTTGGTGCTGGACCAGGGGAGGTTATCAGAAAAGGGAAGAATTTGCTGCACTAATTGAATTGTAGCCTTTTAGGCAAACGGAAGTTAAGGTGCTGATACTGCGCTGTGTAGCTGGAGGACTTCCTCAGGAATAACCTGGGTCTTTATCCCCAGTTCCCAATTGGAGCTTCTCCACGTGTTTCTACCCATATTGGAGCAGACCTGTACCTTGGAGGCCAGATCTGGGCAGTGAAAAGCTTAGTCTTGAGGGATGTGGACTGCCCACGTTAGTATATGAAATGTTGAGGCATGGAAGAGAACAGCCAGTTTACAGCTGAGGACTAGTTTGCCTTTCCTCTTAAATTCTTGCCCCTGGTTTCTGTGAGCACTGTTACCCACTGCTTGCAGTGAGACTCAGCCCTGGGTCTGAGGGGGCCTGGTGCTTAGCGAGGTGTAACTGCAGCTCTGCCCTGAAGCAAACTGCACCCAGCAGTATCACAGGAGCTGGAACACCTGGTGTGTGCTGGGTTTTAAACTGGACGTGCTTTAATGGTACGGGACTTGTGGGCTGCCACTCGTTCCCTTGGGAGATTTCTGTAAGGCTGTTGGAAGACGTTAGGACTGCCAAGTGTCCTCGTGCCCTTCTGTCAGCGATGACTGTTCTCAAGGCACACATATAAGCAGAGTCATACTGTCAGGTTTGTTTTTTAAGCAAAGAGACAAAAATGAAATAGGGCATTCTTAGCTTGGGTCAGTTCCCTAATCTGGTGCAGCGCGTGGTCTCACACTGAGAAGGTGATGGCTGAGCAAGGCTGGGGGCTGCTGGTGCTCCTTAGGAGGGCAAGGAGCTGAGCTGTGCTCCTGGCTGGAGCCAGCAGGTGTGTAAATGGCTGTGCTGAGGGGTCAGGCCTTGCAGAGAGCTGGGGCCAGCAGCTGGGAGACGACGGCTTCACAGCCAGCCCTCCTGCAGATCACCATGACTTGTGTTGGGCTGCAGCCTTGCATGATGCCTCGGGTCAAGCAGGGGGCTGGAGGCAGGTGATGTTACTGGGTGGGAACCACCAAAGCGACAATCTTCCACATTCCTGTGCCTTGTACAGGCTGTGGGAACTGGAGTTTGTTTTAGAGTGAGTTGCAAACTTCTGCAGTGTCCAGTCTGCAGTGGTTCGGTCTGTCTGCTCTTGAAGTCAGTGGGAGCCTTCCTGGTAGTTTGGTTTTTCAAGTGCTCCACGAGAACCTTCCCTAAATGAAAGTATTTAGCTGTGGAAGCATTGGACTGTAGGCCAGCAGGCAGAAATGGTGTGTGCAGAGGGGTTTGTGAAAGTACCTTGCCCGTGAAGGAGCCTCTCTCTGTGCTGTGACTGCTGCAATACCATGATAAAAATAATAGAAAGGATTCTAATAACTAATGAACTTGTTCGTTAACGGATTAAGCGTTGTCTTAAGGGTGGCAATTGGAGTCCATCTAATAAAAGTTGGCTGGAGGTGTGTCCTGTGGCTATGGCAAACTTTGCTTTATAGTAGCCTGTACTTTTCAGTAGCTGCTTGCCACGCTGTGCTGTGGTTGGAGAGGGAGAAACAGAGCACTGGTCATTTCCCAGCAGACAGCGATAAGTTTCTACTCAGTCACAATGCTCTGTGATCTGACAGGTTTATAATTATTATCCTAAGATTGATGTATCTGAGGGGACTGTAAAGATGGGCAGCATTAAGAAATCAGTAATCATTGCATCTTGAAGTGCAGTTTCTGTACAACACTACAAATGCGCATCAAAGGTTTGATTCTAGGCTCGTCATTCCTCTCCATCCCTTCCTCTCCTCTGAACTCCCAAGTTCAGCATCCTTCGCTGTGTCACAAAAGGGACTGTGTGGTGGCCCATTTCTTTCCTGATGGAAAAACAGGGATGGTGATACCAGCACCATTGGAGAGGCCGTTGAACTTGCTGTGTGAGCTTTCCTTTTCCCACAGTGCGGTTTTGATCTTGGGAAAGTCCCGCTCTTCTCTTCCGCAGTTTCGTCCCTGCTGGATGAGGGTGATGAAGGTTCGCGCGCTGTTTCTCCATGAAGGGCTCTGGAAGGGCCATGTTAGCTGTGTGCAGAGCTGTGGTTCGTGCCCGTTTCCCTTTCCTCCCTCTCCCTCCTCATTCAGCCCTCGTGGAACATCACGAGTTTGGCCATCAGGTGCCGCCGTGTCCTGCAGGACTTCTTCCTTCTTTTGCTCTGAGTTCTCCCCAGTCGGGCCTGTTTTTGAGATGCTGTTGTAAGTGATGTAAGTGATGTGGAGAGCTGGAAAGCTCTTTATCTCAGAGCACAGCTGTTCACAGCTGGCAAATAATAGACTGTATGATGGAGTCTGGGAAACTACTTCAGCTTCTCTGTGGAAGGCTCAGCTGTACAGCACGAGGTTCTGAGCTGGTCCAGTTTTGCTCTCACATGGGAAATAGAGGATTGGAAAAGGAAATGCTGTTAGAGCAGTAAGAATGTGCTTATCTACCGACTTCGGTGGGCCTTGGCTAGGAGCTGCAAAACGCCTGACTAAGAGTGCTGACACTATTTCCTTCTTGTTTGTGTTCATTCTTCCTCTAGGTTTTGTTAGAATGGGTTGAAACATTTTTTCAAGTGTAATTTAGAATCGTAGAACTATGAAGGCTGAGAAGCCCTCTGAAGTCATCTAGTGCAGCCATCACCACCATGTCCATTAAACCATGTCCTCCGTTTAGGCAGCTCAGCTGCTGACTGAAAAGTGAGACATTCCTGGATGATATCTTCGTATCTTATATCTGCTGTATTTGTTGTCCAGGTCTTATTTCACGTTCTGTTTTCTCATCTACCCCAATAAAAGCACACTCGTCTTGGGCAGGATGTGGCAACTTGAGTGCTGCTTTTTACTGTCCTGAGAACTTGTAATGCGTGGCTGTTCAGCAGTGTTTCCAGTTCTGAGATGGGGAGAGCAAGACAAAAACGTTTATTACGTCTTCCCTTCTCAGGTGCAAGAGTCTCAGGTTACGTCCAGAGGTCTGGCAAGGATAGAATGAGAGGTTTTTGCCTTTGGTTCAAATCGTGTACTTTGGCTGCCAGAGCAAGCCCCAGGATTACCCAGCTGAGCAGAATTACTCATGTGTGTCAGCATTCACAGGCTTGTGTCTCAGGAAAGGTGC